AAACATAACTGTAAACAATCCTACTTTTACAGTTTTCATTTGTATCACAGGTTTTTTTTGCTGCTTAGTTCAAATTAGCTTTTTTCATAAAATGCACTGAAATTGAATTAAAAACATCACTACTGAACATGAAAGTAAACTAGAAACATGTAGAAATATTAACAACAACAATAAGAACTCTCACCTGGTACAAAACAATCATTGTTGCCAACTTAAAATCCATAACAAAACATTTCTCTGAATAACAAAAAACTATTAAAATTGACTGACTACATTATTTTTTTTAAGAATGTAAGGACTTGTAACTTATTATACAGGGTGGCTGAAAAGTAACTTGCACCCCCCTTAACTTTTCAACCATTTGAGATATTTGAAATCGGTTTGCGACAACCTTCTTAGATATGAGGGGCTACAATATCTATGGTCAATTTTGAAAATTTTGCCCTTAGGGGTAGCGGGGGTAGGGGGAGGCTCAAAATTTTCAAATAACAAGTATAGTCAAGTTTGGTATCATTTTACAGGTCTTGACGGAACATAAACATTGACATAAAGAAAACCAAAATCGGCTCACTAATAACAAAATGGCACCCTAAAACGTTTCAAATCCAAATAACTATGAGGGGAGGGTGGCAAAAAAATTTACTTGCACCCTCTTTAGCTTTTTAACTATTTGAGATATTTGAAATTGGTTTGCGACAACTTGTTTGGAAATGAAGGGCTACAATAATTGTGCTCAGTTTTGAAAATTTTGCCCTGGGTAGTGGTGGTAGGGGGTAGCTCAAAATGTTCAAATAGCAAGTATAGTCGAGTTTGGTATCATTTTACAGGTCTTGATGAAACATAACAAATAACATAAAGAAAATAGAAATCGGACCATTAATAACAAAATGGCAGCTAAAATGATTGAGGCAATGGTTATTTAAAGTAATTTTGAACTTCCATTTTGATATTAATGGTCCGATTTCTATTTTCTTTATGTTAAATGTTATGTTAAGACCTACAAAATTATACCAAACTCGACTATACTTGCTATTTGAAAGTTTTGAGCTACCCCCTACTCCTGCTACCCCTAAGGGCAAAATTTTAAAAACTGACCATAATTATTGTAGCCCTTCGTATCCAAACAAGTTGCCATAAACCAATTTCAAATATCTCAAATAGTTAAAAAGTTAAAGAGGGTACAAGTTAATTTTTGTGCCACCCTCATGGTTATTTGGATTTGAAACGTTTTAGGGCACCATTTTGTTATTAGTGAGCCGATTTTGGTTTTCTTTATGTCAATGTTTATGTTTCGTCAAGACCTGTAAAATGATACCAAACTCGACTATACTTGTCATTTGAAAATTTTGAGCTACCCCCTACCCCCGCTACCCCTAATGGTAACATTTTCAAAATTGACCATTATTAGTGTAGCCCCTTATATCTAAGAAGGTTGCCCCAAACCGATTTTAAATATCTCTAATGGTTGACAAGTTAAGGGGGGGTGCAAGTTACTTTTCAGCCACCCTGTATACCAAAAGTTGCGCAATTTAATTCTTTAAAATTTACTCATTTACTTATTTAAGCTACCTGTAATAGTTTAGGACTTATTGGCTAAAAACATAAATATTTACGGTAGCAATTTTGAAAAACCTTTCATACAAGGCCAACGCACCTCCGTAGAGTGGTAGACTTTTCACCATCGTTTTTCTTAGCCATTTTTACATAAGAATCCATTTACAGAAATTATATTACAATTACTTCTAGGTACAGGTAAATTTTAAGCTATTTTTACTAGTCTATATTTCCTTTGGTATCTGTTTATATGGAGCAACAACTCAAATCAATCTAGATAAAATATTAAAACATCAAAAAAGGGCAGTGAGAATAATACTCAGACTAAATTCTGATGTCTCGGCAAAAGAGCACTTTAAACAGCTAAACATACTAACTGTTTATGGGCAATATATTTATGATTCAATTTTAATTTTTAAAAATAAAACCTCATCCGATGTATCCAATCTACCGGTTCACCGATATGAAACGAGAAAAAAAAATCAGATTTTGCAAAATAGGCACGGATTAAAGTTGTAGGAAAAAAAGCCATCATTTGCTGGTAAAAGTTTTTTTAAACATATCCCCGGAGGAATTAGAAATGAAAAAGATCCAAAAAAGTTTAAAACAAAACTAAAAAATTTCTTAATAAACATGGCAATTCATTCTCAAGAAGAATTTTTCCATCTCCCTCAAGAATACTAGATATTAAGAAGGCATCTGTATGGGGAGATGTATTTTTTTTAATTTAAGATTTATTTTTAATCTGTATTTTATATTTTAATAATTGTAATCTTTGACACTATTCAAATGCTGTATTATGTATACTTCTCAATGAATAAAGAAATTGAAAATTGAAATTGAAAAATCCGTTGAACTAGGTAGCTCCTTGCTTTTAAGTCACCTGTTTTTTCAATCAGCTTGCGGCCTATTTCATTTATCCAATATCACAAATTATTTAGCTAAAAACATAAATATAACTGTAAAATATCCTATGTTGACAGTTCCCATTGTGTATCATAGCTTTTGGTTGCTTAACCCTTCCCGGACGGGTGACGGATATATCCGCATAAGTCTTTGGTGATAAAGGACGGGTGACGGATATATCCGCATATGGTTTTTGATGCTCCGGACGGGAAGCAGTTATATCCGCCTTCTTTTCAGACAGACTGGCATGTGCTTGAGCAGTAACCAGATGTTTCGCGGAACCAAGGCGCCACTATCCTGCTCTTTCCATGACTGCGTTCTCCCCCGCACTCCCCCCTCTCTACCACGCTAACCCCTCTCCTGCGCCTCACCCCCCCCCCTCGCACCTACCACCACTCCTACGCTCCTCCTCGACGTTTCGCGCTCAACATTACGTTGTCTCTATTTATTGTTTACATATTGTTCTTTATTTATTGCCTAACGTTGTCATGGTCATGTCTTCAAAGACGGGTGGCGGATATATCCGCTGCACTTCTACTCATCCGAGGACGGGTAGCGGATATATCCGCATAGTTAAAAACGATAAAAAAATTATTTTGACAGTATGATGTGTTCCACTGTGTTTCTTTTATGTATACGTGTATAAGAAAACACAAATATCAAAAATTTATTTTTATTTTTTCCTCTAATTTTTTACCGGCCTATGCCATGATTTTGCCCGTCCGGGAAGGGTTAATTCATAAGCTGTTGTCATAAATAAAAAAAAAAAAAAAATAGTGTTGCACCCTGTTGGTAAACCTTATAACTTGTTAATGCTATTGAATATCATAGAATCAACTGATTTAGTTTGAACAGCTGACAAAATTATATAATTACTTTGAAATATGAACACTCGTAAGGTTAACATGGAAAACTCCAGAGCCTCTGGGGTGGAGCCCGAAAGGATTTTTGAGATAAGAATAGGTCTATATGTTAATCGCGAATGTGAGCCACCATCAAGCCAAATTTCAGCTCAATCCAACCAGTAGTTAATGCGTGATCGAACTTTAAACAAACACAAAAACTTATATATATTTGCATTGACTATTGGATACAGAAGTAGTCAAAGATATTAATATGATGACAAAACACCTGTTCTTATGTATGATTGTACATTATAAAGAACATTTGGTGTAGAAAAAATATGTCTATGTTTGCTTGATGTTCGTACTGGTCAGGGTGGGTCGTGAAATATGCATTATAGTTTTGGCTGGCACATTTAGAAGGTCAGGCCAAAGACTCAAGCTGATCAATAAGTAACATTTTGTCTGTTATACGCTGTTCCGCATAAGTATTTAAAAACTGGCTGTATATATCATGGCTGTGGTCAGGCTAGTGCAGGGCCTTAAAACAGAACCTTTGACTCTGAGGAATAGCTGTCAATCAAAGGTAAGGGTAGTTTGTCTCTAAAGCAGAACCATTTATTCCAAGTAGGGACTGTTAGTTTACGTGATAGTGTTTCGGGGGTGAGGTTTGTTTTGTTTCAGTGTTACCTGTTGATGTGTAAAGCAATGCCTCCAAGCTCCCATTGGGACAAAGCAAGCTAGTTGAAATCTGACACCAGCATCAAGTTATTTTCTTATGCTTTCGATAATCTAGCTATAGCATCTTTCCTCTTCTGTGTGACACTAAGTATTGATATAACCAATACCAATGGAAGGAAAAATCAATCAACTCGAGTAAATCACATTAGATTTCTCTGGTCTAAAGTGTCAACCCCTAAAATACATCAAATCAAATCATAATCTCATTTATTCATAAATGTACAAGTACAATGGATAGAGTCAGTGAGTAACTTATTGTCTATTCACAATATTTTACATTGCCGGTAGATGGTCGCATGAGGAGAAAAGTGTTCTCGTGAAGCGTCGGTGATAGATTGAGGTAAATACAAGCAAAGAAAACTAGCCAAACCAACATCTTGTAACTTATATACACATTAAAAAATAGAGATGCAAAGTACGTATTGAGTAGATATGGTTAAGGGATCCCACTAGACGGGTGACGGGCTGCAGGTAATTTTTTAGTTTCTGTCGAGATAGTGATGGAAAGTTCAGGAATTCTTGCTTGCGGATCAATGCACTGTATTTAAAACTAGAAGGGTTTACCTTTGTTTCTGTGTGATTGTACCCTTAGTATTGAACCAGCGACCATCAGATATTATAACCACTATACTATCCAGACAACCCCTCTTCCTTCTCTGCTACCCTCTACTACCCTTATACAGAAATATAACTTATCTATACTTCTACTTATCTATACAATTTCTATGTCTATTCTAGTCTGTGCATATTTTTTCTTCCTTCGTTAAAAACTACTACTCTACTGTATAACAAGACTGACGGTATAGATAAGGGAACTTTTTACAGTAGCGATGAGGGAAGTAAAGGACAGATGGAGTCAGATTTGAATCAGCTCGCTTTGTCGCAAACCCTAAGTTACAGACTTAATTCTCATAGCTAGGCTTGTCACTAGGATGTAAGATTTGAAAAAAAGTAACATCAAAATCAATTTCTTTATTTAGTAGAGACAATTATGGCACATTTCAAGGCACTTTTATTAGCATATCACAATTTGAGTTAAATCAAAACTCTAAACAATATAGACTATTATAAAACTAGCTAGGGGAGAAATCAATGATGATTTCTTGAGGTATTGGAATGTTTTCCTTTTGTATAAAAAAACAATAGTGCAAATATTTTGTTTTACTTATGGAATACATTAAAATTAAGTAAACTGATTTATTATTGTTCTATGATTTGATTGTCTACTGAAATGAATAGTGAAAATTCAAGTGTGTTACAATTAATTTCAGTCTGCAAAAAATATTCCTTTAGTTGGATTAGTCAAATCTAAAAAAAAACAAATATATGTTGTAAAAATGTGACTAAATCTTCATTAAAAATCCATCACCACAAAAGTAAAAGCAACATAATGCAGCAGAATAAGGGCTACATGACAAACCAAGGTAACAAACAGTGAATATTTAACATAACATGATAAACATACTTTACAACAAAGAATAAATTAACTTATTTGGTAACTCACAGTAATTTACAAACTGTCACTTTTAAATACTTGATTTGAAAAGCCAAACTTAAAGTTAAGCAAATGTGAGCAGAAGTTTATTTGTTGTAAAACCTTTTGTGTAATGTACCTTACTTAGAAACAACTACATATAAATGCATTTTTAATTTTTAAGTTTTCATCTAAATAAGTAAGTTTGAGGTTTAAATACACTTTGGCATGTATGGCAAAACAAAGTTATTACTGTTATCTATGTGATTATCTTATCAATGCATATTTTTGCTGTAAAATATTAGTGAAACAAAAATTAGTACCAGACAAGCTGAAATAATGTTTTTCTACCCAGTCATGCAATCGTTTGAGTATTTGTACTTTTAATGATTGCCAATTTAACACTGTTTATTTATACCGTACTGGTATTTTGTAATAAAAAAAGGCACTACATCTCTATTTTTAAGAAAGACAATGATTCAATTTGAAACAGCATAGTTCTGTTGACACAGTTTTAAAAAGTTGACACACTTCTTGAAGTTTTTAAAGATAAAAACTATGTCATGTATTCAGGAAGACTTCCTCTGGTTTAAAACTCTCAGAAGTTAGTACAAAAATATGGAATGTAAATGTAAAAAAAACAACAACAAAAACACACTTATGTGTGCAAAATTAGTTTATAGTTAGAGACTAAACAATAATTTAGGAATAACGTAACAACATGTACTAGTGAAAATCGCTAGACAAGCACATTGTTACTAGTTTTGTTTGTATAGCTGTAGACCAAGTGCTGTGTGTCATATGCAGGTGGTAGTTTGAACCAAACAAGAAGATCTTCTCATCTTACTTTATTCAAGACCAAAGTTTCATATTAGTACGTAACGACATTATGCAATTTAAAAACAATATGTTGAAAAGTAAATATGTATCAACCAATAGCTCAAAAGTAAATACAAAAACAGATTGTTATTTTAGTGTCCATTTTTGGACTAAATTGTATTGTACAATAGAGGCAGTTGTAACATTTTATGTTGCAGCTTTGCATCAGATATTTAGTTCCAGGAAATGGAAATTACCTTACTGTCTTACATTTTGTAGAACAATGATTGACTAATCTGATTAAATTACCTTTCTTGTAGAGCAGGTAATTTCAGTTATGGACATTTGAGAATATGAGAATTGATGCTTGTCTTAAGAACGCAAGTCATTACAGAAAGTTTGTGAGTTGTCTCTAAATAACAAGCGTGCACACCAAGCCAAATCCTAGCAGGGTATATCATCCCCTTCAAGGTACAGTTCAATTGGAGTATGTTTTGTCAATTTGAAGTGGATTTTAAAAAAATCACGTATTGAAACTATTACTATAGAGCAGGGTTTCATTTTACATGGGTGAAACCAGATGGTAACAAAGTTTCTGAAGCAAAGTTGCAGCTTGTTTAAGGATCGACCAGCTTGGCCAGTGAAGTACCTTGGTAGATATGTCTTATCCCAACAACACCTTCTTCATGATGTCTGCATGGCCCTGGTGTTGGATTGCGGAGTTGTTCATGATGCACTTGCTGGAACACAAGTACTGCAGAAGGGGAACTCTGTACTTGCCGCAAAAGTCAACAAACTTTATGTGCTCCACACGATTGTCGAAGAACACCCCTGCAAATTAAAAGTTCAATTATTACATGGGTAGGATTTGATTGTCAAAATGGTTATAATAAACTCAGCAAGACTTGTCTCTTTAGTACTTGATTCTGCTCCGAGGATGGATTGTTATAAATGGACAAGTTTAGTGGTCGTCTACAAAATTACCAATTTACAATATTTACAACTAATTGGTATTCAGACAAAGACAACGAGCGACTTGTGGTTTGTATTTATTTTTCCACTTTAACCTCCTTTTTTGTGTTCCAAATGAAGACAAATATACTGTGCTATAGGTGTGAAATGTAATCTAAAAGCAATGATAATTTAAACATACGGATGGTGATGACTAATATCACAATGCAAAATTATGATCAAGCTTAGAGTAAAAAATATCACAAGCTCAGAAAATGTCAGGAGATCAGGAATGACATAAACATCTGTCCTGTCCTTGCAAACTCTAAGCAATCATGTTTAAAGGAGACTAGCTGTTACCCACGGGCTTCGCCCCGTTTGACTTCATAAGTATTAATAAAACTATTGTCCATTCTACACCAACCTTACATTCTTATTCAGCTTAAACAATACCTAGGTGTGTGGCTGTATTAAGGTAATAATAAGTAATTAGATGTTTAATAGACTGTCTACTAAAATCAAGAATCTTTGGTACCGTAAGACTTAAAGGAAGCTGTGGAGTTTAGTAAAAAAGCTTATACATTGCATAATGACTTCAAGAGATTAAAAAAAGTAATGATGATGAAGGATTTATGATGATGAAGGATGACCTAGCTTTATTTTCTTCCAACGGACACTGGAAGGTAAATAGCATCTACTCACAGAGTTCTCTGTGACCTACTACAAGAAAGTTAAAAAAAGGCAAATAAAATGAACGTATCCAGAGAAAACGGATTTATTTGGACTCTGGGGTAGGCTAATATAAAATTAAGAGTTGATTTATCTGCAAGATTGAATTTTTTTGTGTGACAAACTTTAAAGTTAAGTACCAAACTTGTTTCTATTGTGCTCCAAAATAATTAGTATCAAGTTATTTTCTTGTAATATGTTTTAAAGTTATATATTAGGGTTTGCATTGCAAGGCAAGATAATCAGGGATCAATTCTAAAGGTTATCCACCAAAGACTTCTAAGAGCCACAAATTGTTGCTGATTAGGACCAGAGTAACCAAATCTGTCCAATTGCTAGACATCAATCACTTATAAAAACCTAATTTTGTATATTTCGTTATTTTATTATCAAGTTAAGTCTTTTTAATGGACTTTGACGACTCATACAACATTAAAACACAGCATTTCTAAATCAGTTTTAAATTTAGATGCAGCCTTTACTTAGCTGTACAAAACTGTGTGTAAAACAACTACCCAAGAATAATTTAGTTTCTAGACTACCTAGGTGATAATCACACTTATTTTACTACGTCAATGTTAGGCCTATATCACAACCTTTTAGAATATTTAACGAGACTAATTGTCCCATATGGTAAAATCTGTTTGGAGTAGTACTGATTGAAGTTATACAAACACTGACTTCAGATGTAAACTCAAGCTAAAAGCTTGGCTGCAATATGAGTTCGATGGAGGCCTTAACTTACGGAAAACCCTTGATTATTTTTTTATTTTGTATGCAGGGTGTTCAAAAAAGGTGAGGACATAATTTAGGTAGTGATTCCTTAGGTTGAAATAAAAAGAAAATCACGAATAATATTTTTTTTCCAAATCGCTTCGTTAACCAGATATTCGCCATTTTGTTTTTTTATCTTTGAATTTTTTCAACCGATCTTTACTTGGTATGTATGTTAAGGTAGAAGAGACCCATGTTAGAAAATAAATTTATCTTGATTCAACTTAAAATTTCAAAATGGCGGCCATTTTAAATTTTAAACTTAAACGACTAAAAAATTGAAGATTTTATGAACAATTTCAAGTTTAACACTTTTATTTAGCAATTTTAATTCCCTATCAAATGATACCAAGTTCAAAAATATCAAATAAGAAATACCTGAAATATTACAATTTCTAGTTTCAGGTTTGCCCCATTTTACACCTAAAAATTGTTATATTACAGCTATTTTTAGTAGATGACACAAGATGGTGTTTTTGGTCTCTGTGAACATCAAAACAAGTACAGTAGAGTCCCGCAAACTCAGCTCTCGATAACCCGGCAGTCTGGATAACTCGGCCATCACCTGGCTCAGAAAATTTGTGATTTTTTGAGTGCTAGTTAATCATGGACTCAAGCCAGCTTAAGTCAAATTATTCGCAACTGGTATTAAGGATTTGTTGTACTATATCTGATGACTTAATACTGACTTGTAATATAAATATAAATAAAAAGGCAGTTAAAAAGCTTAAAAACTGTATTGTTCTTATTTTTAACCCTAGTTCCCGATAACCCGGCATTTCACAAACTCGGCACCCTTCCAGTCCACATTACGCCGAGTTTGTGGGACTCTACTGTACTGTAGATCGGTCCTGGGTCTAGGTTTTACCATGAGACCTACGGTAATATCTTATTCCCTTTATGGGAAATTCGTTTAAGTGATAAAGTTTGTAAAAATGTTTTTCCTCTGTGCAGCGACATGCAGACCACTCATACAAGAGCTTTTGAATTTCAATGTAAATAACGAGTCTTAAGGTATAGTACCGTGATTTAAATTGGGTAGAAGAGATGCCAAATAGTTATTCAAAAATATGATGTTTTTGAAAATAACAAAATAAGACCTATATAGAAAGAAAATGTTCACAATATTTCAACAATAAAATTAAAACTGTTTTGTGTAGTTCCATTATTTGTAACTCAAATTAAAATATTCAATTGAGAGCTTGTAATTTTAATTAAAATAAAATTATAAAAATAACAAATTAAATCGGGTTGAGTAGGATACCAAATCAACAGGGAAATAATTAGCTTTTTTTTAGAAACTTGACATGAAAGACTTTCACAATCGCTTGACATACAATCCACCAAAAAACTAGTCCCATGACCTATATGACAATAAAAATGATAAGCCTAATCAAAGGTCTCTTTAATTCCTGCACTAGTTTTAGTTTAAGTCAACGATCAAAAAATTATGTATAACAAAATTATTTTTGTAAAGTCAATGTTGAAAATTATGGTAATTAATATTTGCAAAGTTCAATTTGGAATTCATTAAGGATAATTACTTTATTGTTCTCTTGTGTAGTGCAATATAATTGTATATTGATTCATTTATAATCTCACTACTTTAATCACGTGGACTCCGAACTGCACACGGCACAGTCGTTGAGTACACAAAGATAAAATTAACCGTCAACAGATCAATAAAGTTTTGACCTCATGTTATGCAATGTGTCATAGTGAATTTAAACTTTTGATTGTGCCATAAAAATTCCATCAAAACAAAACAATTGCACGAAACATAAAATGCGTCTGTAAAATGTTTTGAGGCAATACATTATTCTGATCGTTTATCTAGAGCTTCATAGACTGTCAAATCTTTGTACAGGACCATAAATTAATCAAATGTAGTTTGGGTGTTTTTCAACGCTAGTAGGCTATTTTAATTTATTTTGTTTTATGGAAAACAAGGCTAACTGTTGTTTTAAATTATACAAAATGACACAGCCTTGGTAATTTTTAAGAGCCCTTAAATTCTTCATACTAATTACAGTATGGAGAAACTGTATGGTGGCATTATTTAATGATCCTTAACAGACCTATCTGTAATGACTTACTGTCTATCTAGATAATGACAGCCAGTTTACATTTTAAAAAACATTTATTTCACTATAATAATAATAAGGGACAGGTACAATTCAGCTTGGATAATTTTAATACCAATGGGACCTGCGGGCCTACATAAATCAAATTATTAAAAACTTAAATTGAACATTTTTTAAAAGGTTTGAAAATGAAAAAGTTATACTTTCTGATCGTGCAACTGTGCAAGAACTGTTGTCTTCAGTAAATTTAAGTAACAAAAAAAGTCAAAGATTTGCAGGTTTGTTGCTTTGATGATGGCATAACTGCATTACTATAAAGCGTGCACAACTCCTAAGCTTATTAAAAGTAGTGAAAGCAGAAAAAGGACATCAATTGTACAATGAGCAGAGATTAACTGTGAAAAAACAATTTGTTACTGAACTGTACTGTGTACAATACAAGGGTTGGCAGGTAAAGGGCCAACGGCAAATCAGTGTTGCAAGGGTGGTGATCAGTATAGTATTAGATCTTAATGTAGCCTACCTTATGTAATATTATTACCACCCAATGCCAGTGTTTCACATTGATCATATTAAACTAAAGTTGTCATACACAATGTTCTAACAAATTTTAACCATCCAAAATCATATGAAAATTACCTATGGCATCTCAACATTGTATGTAGAAGTTCTAGGCACAAACAGAAAAAAGAGGGAAGTTCTACTCAACAAGTTAAGGAATAAGGAAGTATCGTTCAAGTTAAGAAAGTTCTAATCAAGCGAATTTCACCAATATACCTTGACACTTAGGGTTGACGCAGTGGTGAGCGCTATTGAGATACTCGCGCAGACTGTAAGGCAAGTCTCTAGCCTCATAGCGTACTCTGTGTACTTTGATTGTGCGAGCCGCAATCTCTAGCAGGCTGGGCGGATTGTATGTCATGTCGTTGACAAAACTGCAAACCAGCGGATTGTCCCTCAAACTGAGCTGGGAACAGTCAAAACAAACCGGTTATAGCATAATAAGATAAATATAACATAATGCTTTGCTACACTTGTGGAGACATATACGTGATATATAGCCCCAAACAATCAGCCTAGACAGGGCCTCAGGGGAGACTTCAACTTCCATCTAACATTGAAGAGTATTTTTGTGAAGAAAATTCATTGTGTATCAGTACGGTATGTTGTATTGTGTGATATGGCCTAGATAGGAAATATATTTTTAAATAGGATGCGTCTTCATGTTTGCGACCTTAACTTGTGTTTGACTTTATCATTAACAATTAAAACTTTCAAATCAAGCAACCAAATCCAACAGCAATGGTATTTACAGAATAATGGAGGGCCCTTGTCATTAGGCTACTTACAGCTTTTGAATTTAATGGTGAGAAATAAAATTGTTACAAATTAAAAAAAATAATAGAATAACAGTTCAACTTATGATTTTAATGAAGAATCAAGAGGGTAGTGGATCGGAATGCAAAAATTATTTCCTTAATAATCAAAGCAATTAACTGGAGCAAATAATTAATTTTTTGATGGTTGGAAACTGGACCCAGATATCCCTGCTAATTATTGGGCTTTTAATAAATGATTCTGTCTTAAAGCTGATCCTAGTAAGTAAGAAAGCTTCACAGATCATCTCACTCAGATCATCCATTCTACACTCATCCTTCACTCAAATTTGGGTTAAAATATGCACTGAGTTTGCGTCCCCATCTTAATAATTGATAATCCAAACCTAGGATTAAGTTCTAACACAATATGAAACAGTAGGAATCAGACACATTGCCACTTAATTTCAAAGCATATTGACAATCCGCCTCACCTCAGATAAGCACTTCAACGAAATGATTTCTGTCGGCAATGTTCTTAGACGGTTCTTGTGGAGTTGTAGCGTCTTGAGATTCCTGAGGCTGGCAATAGCTGCCGGGAGACTCTCCAGGAGATTGTCACTCAGGATCAGAGCCTTCAGATCCTTTAGGCTCCCGACCGAAGGATGAACCTCACTCAGGATGTTACCACCCATACTTAACACTTGCAACCTAATGTAAAGTTACTTATTTAGTTTACTGGAGATACAACAGTCTTTAACGCCAAATTGACAATGTTTAACAAAGAACAAACTTTTCACATTTTGCCTAGAAATATAGCCTAGAAACAGGCAACTATACTCAGAACAAAGTTGGAAAGAAAAACAAAGTTTTATTCAACAATCAATAAAACTGTTTCTTTTTTATGGCAAAACTATACATCTCTACCAGTTAAATCTATAATTTAGGCTTAGCTGAAATGTAGCCAATTTTTCCGTATCAATTATTTGATCTCGAGAAACCATGTTAAAAATTGGACTGTTATCAATGGAATTATTTTCTGAATTATAACAAATCATAATTTAGGTACAAATGTTATGCCTAGATAATATTTTATTACCTACGTACTGCTATTTCACCTAACTTACTGGGGTTGGGTTAGGTGTTTTTTGTTTCCGGTAGTTTATTATTTTGGTATTTTATAGGCTAAATAAAAGCATTTAATGATACTGTATCTTTATTGAAAGAAGATAAAGATGTAAGATGTACATCTCTCTGAGTCAAACGTCTACATGGCCTGCTCCACTCAAACAAACATAATCCAAGGAAGCCTGGGATCCATGTTCCGCGTTTCAAGATACCTCCACCAGCCTGAGACATTACGTCACTCTATATCGCATTTGTTAGGCCTCATCTTGAATATTGCTCTGTGGTCTGGTCACCTAATCAGAAATACCTAACTGGCCAACTAAACGGGATCCAAACTCGTTTTCTCAGGCTTGTGGGTACCCGCATGGGTTATGGCTACTTGGAGGTCCCTGTTCAGGATCTCTCTCTCTGGATCATGGCCAGCCGCCTCTAGAGCTCAGGAGAGCTGTGCATGATGTTATTTTATCTTCAAAATCTTGAATGTGCACATTGACTGCCCCAGCCTCCTGAAGCGAATCAGCTTTTGTTTGCCTACGAACCCAAGATCGAGAGTGATGTTTGCCAGACTTCACCACGGTAGGCCTATATTGTATGAACTGAGTAGTAGAATGATCCGTGTCCAACGCCAGGCTAACCTGCTTCCACTTAATGTTGACTTGTTTTGGACTACCATCCCCATTATCAAGAGGAAGATGCTGTTGGCCCACCGCAGTGCTCTAAATTCCTTATCCTGCGCAACACGCTTCTGACGTAGCTAATAAGCATCTTCATGAACGTTCTCATTGTTGTTTGTTAGCTTTTGTCTCATTGTTATTTTCGTTAAGTTTGTTATGATTAATGTACCTCAACCCTAGTCCTTGCTTGTCATCATTATATTTATTTCTAGTCATGCCTGTTTTATATATACACATATTATTAATATTTAGGGACTACAAGTCAGCACGTTTTCTAAGCTAGTCTCACTGTATTAACTGGACGCCTCAGAAGCAATTTTGATGTTTTGTTAGTAATTTATTTTGAGTAAATAGTACCTATTATTACAATGTATACCTTCTAAAAAAGGGATTTTCCGTCAATAAATAACTTGAGAAGTCATATTTAGACGGACAAATTTTAAAATACCAATAGTTTATGGCTACAAATTAAACTACTTAAACTTAAGCTATTCTAGTAATATGTGTAGACCTACTGGCTACTGGATGAGCTAACTCAATACTTTCATGGAGAATGGAAAATATTCAATAGCCTAATTTGAATTTTTGATAGGTTAGTTTTTAAGTAGCCTTGCACTGACATCATACTAAATTATATTTTAACCAAACAGGCTTTAATTAAAGCCTGTCATAAAAACATGTAAGATTGACACATTGATTAGCAGTCAAGAAGTGGATTTCACAGAAAACTAAAAAGAAAAGGTTGTTAAAAGCAAAGAGGATGTGATATGATAAAAATTAATCAGACTAATTAACTACCAATAAATAATCATCCATTTTAACTTTTTAAATTAGTTTAACTTAGTACAAATGGAGTAAGTTATAAAAGTTAAGAGATACACAATCATAAGCTTACCTTGAGAGAGCTGCAATTTCTTTAGGAATTGTTTCAATTCGGTTTCCCCCAAGGTAAACAAACAAGAGGTTTTTGGCTTCGAGGATTTGAAGTGGGAAATGTGACAAGTTGTTTCCACTTAAGTTGAGATTCTTCAGAGAAGTACTCACTAACTCAAAAGATTTTGGTAAGGATTCGTTGTCAAGGAGGTTGTTCTTGGCAATAAGAGTCGTCAAAGGAAATGTCAGTAAAATATCTGGGAGTCTTTTCAATCTGTTGCTACTAATGTCAACTACTCTCAAATTCTTAAAAATGGAAACATTTGGCGGAACGTCCACAAGCTGGTTTTGATACAGAACTAATGTGTTAATAGTATGAGGGACAACATGGTTTTCCTTGGACTTATCTTTTTCATATCCTTCCAATACATTTATAAAACTGTTGTAATCTAAGCTTTGATGTGAAAGATCGACTGTGTTTTCATTTCCACTAAAACTTTCACTGTCACTGCTGCTGCTTTCAGAATATGTGTAGTAGGCTGACATCTTCAAAATTTAAGTAAACTTCAAGATGAATTATATGATAATTTGGTAAGTCAGGCACAGTATGGCATGTCAAAATTACTTCTTATGTAATTTAATAATGAAGGCCTAAATATTTATAAAAAAAAACACGTGGGTAGTTGTAAAATGGTTACCGGGATCAAGTAATTGAGCTGAAGATGGGTGTAGACTCTGAAGACTGTAAACTGTCACATTTAGGAAACAAAAGACGAGGCCACAATTACTTGCTCATTGAAATTAATTGACCAAATGGCAGATCGTGATGATGAGTTTGACAGTTATTAGGTTAAAAGCTGCCTCCGAAGGTCAATGGTAAAGTTGTTTAAATAATCAGCTGTTGCACTGTTTGTGTACTGTTTTAAATATATTTCAAAGCCGTTGACATTTCGTTGATAGCTTTTTGAAACGTACTATATAAAAATATAACCTATTATATTGATACGACGGAAAAGAGTCATTTCAGAAACGTAATAAATAAAAACGCAATAAAATATCACAGTTTATTATAAAATTATTCTCAAGCTTCAAATTTAGAGCTCAAGTAGGACAAAGATTTATTTTTACTAAGTCACAGGTACGCATTAAAAAACAAGACATTAGATGGGCAGTGCAACAAGCAGAATTGGCGATCGCAGAACAGCTTATATAATTAAACCTGAAGACCATACTTACTTACTTACTTACTCCTTCTTCATCTTTTACCCAAAAAAAGAAAAGATTGCGTCTCGACAAAAAAATAAAACATTTCTTTGTCGAGAAAATTCCATTGTGGTGCAGTGGATACCAAGTCATAAAGAGAAATTCCCACGAATACTAGTTAATGAAATAGAAGAGAAACTTAATAAATACTTTATTCTCAAATGGCGACCATGACCACGTGGGGTCCCAGTTTATCGACATCCCAAAAGATCGACACTGAAATAGTCCCACTTTGTCGACAACTCAAAATGTCGACAGTGTCGGTAATATGGGATGTCTGTAAAGTGGGATGTCGGTTATGTGGGATGTCTGTTATGTGGGACGGTTGTGTAAATTTTCCCACTTTATCGACACGCAAAATGTCGACAAGCAGAACAGATCGACAAAGAGCGGGAGATTCAAATTGAAGGTGAACAGCTCTTGCTGAACAGATCGGTTGAGTATAATGAGATTCGTTCTTTTTTAACTCCGAACGACTTCTATTCACGGCGCTTGCAGCTTGCAGTCTCCTTCAAATTTGTCAATGCTATCTCAACTATGTTGTGTATATAAATTGTGTTATGTTGTTTGAAGGCTTTAAAATAATCTGACATTTGTCACACTTGTATTATGATTCATTATACTGTTTTTAGCGAATTTCCCATATAGGGAATAAGCTATTACCGTAGTACTCATGGTAAGACCTGGACCCGAGACCGATTTAATTTTTCATTTTGAGGTCCCTAGAGGCCACGGCCGCCTTTAACTACAGGCCGCGGCCTGGTAGAATTGGCAACATCGCATGTGGTGTTGTTCAGTGACAGACGTCCCATAAGATAACATGGCAGACAGGTGACATCAGCTCATTAATTCGCACTTTATTGATTTAATTTTTAATTTATGAACATAAATTTATTAAAATATTGAAAATAAAACATACAGAATTGAAAATTGAAACAATATGAATTAAAATCTATATCTGTACATTTTTAAGCGGAGTCAATATTGTCATAGTAAAGTAATCAATCTTTCGTAAATACACAAATACCATTAGTTGCTTCCAAAAAAATCAAATGTTACAACACCACTTGCGACGTTGCCAGTTCGAAGGCCGCGGCCTGGAGTTAAAGGCGGCCGTGCTAGAGGCCAAAAACACCATCCGTTCAAATTCATATATATATATATATATATATATATATATATGTGTGTGTGTGTGTGTCCGTTAGCGCGATAACTCGAGCAAAAATGATCCGATTTTGATGAAATTTGGTACAATCGTGTAAACCTACGTTTATTCGAACGAGTTCGCGATCCAGCATAATCGGACCATGGGAACGGGGGTTTATGGGGGGTTTTATGGGGTAAAAATGGGTTTTTCCCATTTTTGAACCTAAAAACCAAAAATTTTGCGATTTCTTTCTAAACCGTTTTGTAGAGCTTAAAAAAAGAAATAATTTAGTATATTGAAGCGCTGTTGTATGCCTAACGGTCACGGAGAAAATTCAAAAATAGTGTAATTAAAAATTCCCATGTTATTCTTATGGAGAAAATGAAAATTGTTGTAGTTTACTTGTTTATGGGTATATATTGATAAAATTTGGCAACTTTATTTATTTCATCCTATACTATTGACGTATGGTCAAAAAACACTTTTTACCTTCCCCGTAGCAGCAAGCCTAAGCACTCGTTAAATCTAATGTTATTTAAACGAGGAGTTAGCCCGTCCTACGTACGGGAATCGAGTAGTCAATTAAAACTGTGTATAATTCAGAACAGCTAGTTTACACGTATAAAGACAAATGTTATTGCAGCCTACAGCAGAAAGAGTAATTATTATCAATTGAGAAGTGTATAGGCCTAGTCAACGATATCACCTTACATCGCATACCTGCCTCTTCCATAATCAATATCGCCACAATACAAACTCATACTAAATATACACAATATCCAGTAGGTCTAAATAGAAACTCCCTAAAATAAACCGATAATATCCAATAAAATTTACAGTACACATATAACGTTGGTTTTTCCTTACATCATCAAACGAATAGTCCACACATACCACATACCATTTATATAAATTTCACTACATCAATTGCTAAATAAATAAGTGTAAACAAACAAAAGTAAAAACAACAACATATAGTTTGTTTTTAAACAGCTGAGTCAAAAATAAAATAATATTCGTTTGAAAAAAAAAGAACTGGTCATGTTGAAGGAATTTAAAAGGAAAACACGGTAGTAAAGCTAGTGACGTAATTGTTTATGTTGATTATCCATACCGTTATCAGTTCTAAATATCCTTGATAATCAAACCACCCTCATTGAATCAATGTACATCGTAATTCCCCATATTCATTTATTTAAACTATAAAATATTCAGTTGAAATAAAAGTGATATTTTGCCTACATCAGTGCATCCAAACGTAACCACAACTAAACACACGCCAAACAACTTTTTAGATTTCATAAAATAATAATTAGTCTAATTGCAGTATCCTAGGTCAATGATGACGTTATGTTCAATCTGTCATTCATCTCTATATCTTTGGATAAAACCCGTCTGAGGTTGTGGCGGTAATTTAAAATCGTATTCCTGAGGGTTCTTGATCTCAGCATTCAAACATTGATTGTAAACAAAAAGCTACCAAGATGAATTAAAACATGTACAAATTTTAACTTTCCTAGCCTTTTTTCAAAAAATTGAGCAGTAAAATCATTTGCATATCCTTTTTTTAAGACTCGTGTACAGAGCCTCGACTTGTATTACGTCGATGGTGTTACTTATCTCGGTGGTCTACTAATATAATCAATGACAAAATCAGAGTGAATAAAATAACCTCATAATTCTATAGAGTATTTTATAACCAGCTGTTCGTTAAAACAAATTATATTGCTCTAAAACAAATCGAAGATTACAAAGATTGCTTTAAAAATAATTTGAACATCCTAGTATTTTACTATGTATATTTAATTACTCTGTCATCCTCTTACAGAAGGATTGAACGTATCAATGATTAACATTACACATAGTATAAATAAGTCAACCCTAAGTATGTCTTTAAATTTTTATCCAAATGCTGAATTTGTGACACAAAAGCTGAATGTTTACAGCTGTTATGTTAAGCAAATTATTTTATGCCAAAAGCTAGTTTAGAATCTTAGCGTCGGCTGCTAGACTTTTTAAAAATTAAAACTTTATTTCTAAAAAACTAGGACCCTAAACTAAAATTATGGCTTCGACATTCCCTAGTTCTCAAAATTATCTTTCTTTCAACACAAAAATCATGAAAATCCGTCGAGTGGTTGATTCAGAATCGTGAAATAAAAAAACACTGTTTCGTTTTAATATTATAGATATGGAATAATATGTCTTATTTATGGAAATATTTTAGTAAAAATGTAATCAGACGAGTTGAAATTCGCTTAGCCCGCAGGTTTGCTGCGGCGGGGGTATTTTTTTTCGTGTAGGAAGGTAGTTAAAACTACGTAGGCCAAACTTTGCTTAAGGATGATTTGATTGTGGTATCCATCTAAAGTTTTTCCAATCATAAATTTATTTGAAATATATGATATAGTACATAGATTTTACATTTGACTTGCTAGCTCTGTGTTAAAACAGACAAATAACAAATAAACCTTAACAAATAACAATTTTACGTTGTTCATTGTTACACATATTTTCTCGTTCAAATTAGAGTTAAATGTCTATAGAAATATTAAATGAGTTGTAGTACATTTTATATTAGCAACTTACACCGGAAATTACTAAACGAAAAAAAATGTAATTTTCCTAAACAAACTGCAAATTTTTTGATTCTTTTACTTTCTCCCCCTATACCATAGTATATGGAGAAAGTATTGTTTTCGTCAAAATTTTCGAGTTTGAGTTTTGAGTGGATATATTTGTTTCGGGTCCCCCTGGACCCAAAAAAGTGGTTTTCGAAGTGATGTCCGTGTGTGTGTGTGTGTGTGTGTGGGTGGGTGTGTACCTGTGTGTCTGGATGTGTACAGAACTAGGGACTACACCTGTGGTCCGATTTCGATGAAATTTGGTACGTAGGTTCTAATCCATGGTATCTCCAGGTGTTTTTTTCATTTTTTTGAGATTTTGAGTTTTAATGGGGATTTTTCTATAAAAACCCATAAAAACCGGAAAAATCTAATTTTCTAACAAATAGTCCGAACGATTTTGATAAAAATTTAGTATGTTGTAGCTCTTTAAATTCTGAACAAACTGGTACAAATCCCATTTCTGTAAAAATTACGGTTCAAAAGTTATTGTAAATTATGTTATTTTCCCATAAAAACTAAAACGACGGAAAAACTGATTTCCCAAAAATGACACTAACGATTTTGATACAAATGTAGTATGTTATAGTCCTTTATATTCTTAACAAAATGGTACAAATCCCATTTATGTAAAAATTACGGTTCAAAAGTTATTGTCCATTATGTTGTTTCCCCATAAAATAACAAAAAATAGTATTTTAGAAAAAAGCGGTTTTGATTTGACATAGTATGTTATACTCCTTACAATTTTGAAATGTTTTTTTTTCATATTTTAGATATTTCGATATTTAATGGGGATTTTCTCATAAATCCCCATGAAATAAC